CACACACACACACACACACACACACACACACACACACACACACACATACACATAATAAAAAATTTGAGGGAGGAGACAGGGTCTCTCTGTGTAGCCGTGGATGTCCTGAAACTCTCTCTGTAGACCAGACTGGTCTCCAGCTCACAGAGATCTACCTGCCTCTGCTTCCCAAGTGCTAGGACTAAAGGTGTGCGCCACCAAGCCCAGCATAGCTAGGTAATTTTTTAAAAGAGTAAGTAAGTGTGGGCTAGGAAGGCGATTCGGCGCATTGGGCATTTGGCGTGTGTGCATAAGGGCACACATGAGTTCAGATCCCCAGCACCAACATAACAGTGGGGTCTGTGGTGTGTCATATAACTACACCCAGGAGACACCGGTACGAAGTCCTCAGTGGCTTGATGGTGCTAACTGAAACAGCCTCAGTAAGACCCTCCCTCCCTCAAATAAATAAATAAATAAATAAATAAATAAATAAATAAATAAATAAATAAAGTGAAGAGCCATAGAGAAAGACCTGGGCCTCTGACCTCCACCATCCCCCAAGACCTGAGTTTAATAGGGAGCAATTAATACAACCATCTGGGAGAGAACTTCTTCAGGCTGAGAAATGAGCATGTGCAAAAGTCCTTAGGCAAGAGTGTAGCTGAGCTATCTAAGGAAACATAAAAGATTTAATGTAGCTATAGAGGTGAGCTGATTCTGTGCATAGCCACATAGCCGAGGGGAAAGCTAGCTGGAGTCATCCACTGATTGTGTAGCACAGGCATTTGTGTGCGGGGCTGACAGCCTGAATTCAATCCACAAATCCCACAGGGTGGCAGATCGGATTTTCACACACACACACACACACACACACACACACACACACACACAAATAAGTAAGTTTTAACTATATACGTAGTGATGAAATATTAGTGAGAGGATATAAAGATTACAGTCGGTGTGACAGGAACAGTGTGGCCACTTCCTGAGTTGGGGAAAGCAAGTTATATAAAAAGCATCGCATGGGCTAGAATGGGACTCGGTTGATAGAGAGCTTGCCTGCCATACACAGAGTTCTTGGTTTGATTCTCAGCCCTGCACAAGTCTGGGATGGCAGAGTAGGGTAAATGGAGCAAAAAAATTCCAAAGTTGGCTACCTAGTGAAATCGAGGCTGGCCTGGGATACATGAGACCCTGCCTAAAACAAAATAAAAACTGTACCTGCTTAATACAGATTTAAGCGCAAGACGGGTGCCCAAAATATTACACATTCAATAAGTGTGATGAATTATGCCTTTAATCCCAGCACTGGGGAAGCAGAGGCAGTTGGATCTCTGTGAGTTCCAGGACAGCCAGGGCCACACAGTGAGACACCATCTTAAAAAATAAAAACAAACAAAACAAAAACGAACCCACATTCCTTGTACTGACAGTCTTGTTTTTCTTGTCTGTCTAAAGTCAGTCATCCAAGGCTTCACAAATGAGAATAGCTGATAGTCTCTGAACTTAGAGCCCTGCCTAGCCTTCCGACTTCCAGATTACAAGTGTGAGCCACCACATTCAGTTTTGCAGGAGTCCTTAGTCTGAGGCATAAGGACCCAAGGGGGTCTCCAGACACACTTTATAGTCATCTTCCCCCTGACATTGCTTTTTAAACCATGAGTGCATTTTTAAAGTTGGCATTTTTTTTTTTTTTTGAGACAGGTCTTATTGTGTGGTTCTCCCTGGCTCCCCTGAAACTTCCTTTACAGACCAGACTGGCCGAGAACTCCCTTTGTAGACCAGGCTGGCTTTGAGCTCACAGAGATCTGTTTGCCTCTGCCTCCTGAGTGTTGGGTTTAAGGAGTGTGCCACCACACTCTGTAGGTATTTTTTATTTTATATATATGAGTGTTTTGCCTGAGTGTATGGCCTGTGCACCACATGTGTACAGTACCGTCAGAGGCCAGAAGAAGGTGTCTGACTCCCCCGCGACTGGAGTTACAGGTGGTTGCAAGGAACACAGATCCTCTGGAAGAGCAGCTAGTGCTCTTAACCGCTGAGATATCTTAACAGCCTTGCCATGAATGCATTTGTTAGTGTTACTCTTGTTTGTAAGATATGGGGGGGGGGAACAGTTGAGGGGCTGGGGAAGGCTAAGTGGTTAACAGCACTTACTGCTCTTGTAAAGTGTTGGAGTTGGGTTCCCAGTACCCACAGGTCAGCTCACTACTCTTTATATCCGTTCCAAGGGTTCCAGCACCCTCTTCTGGCATCTGAGAGTACTGCACACACATGGTGCACAAACAAGAATGCAGATAAAACAGTTACACGCATAAAATCAAAATTTAGATACGCCTCTAAAATAACTAGTTAAAAGATATCACTATATTCCTAAAATGTGTGTTACAATTTTAAAAAGGAAGTTTACTTGGGACTGGAGAGATGGCTCAGTGGTTAAGAGCCTTTGCTGCTCTTGCAGAGGACCAGTTTGGTTCCCAGCACCCACATGTGGCAGCTCCCATCCCTACCTAACACCAGCTCTGGGGGAGCTTGCACCTTCTGCCTCTGAGGACACACACACACAAACACACACACACACACACACACACACACACACACACACACACTACATATTTAAACAATATATTGTTGTTTGTTTCTCCTGGCTCTCCTGGAACTCACTTTGTAGACCAGGCTGGCCTCCAACTCTACCTGAGTCTACCTCCCAAGTGCTGGGATTAAAGGCGTGTGCCACCATACCTGGCATCACAGCTTTTTAACTTGTAGCTTTCAAAATGCTTTTCGATAAACCAAGGAAAGAAAATAAAGGAGTTAAAAAAAAATTGTACAGACAAAATTTAACAGATGTTTGTGGAATTCGAGGGAGAGAACGGCAGCATAGCCACAGGATAGAAAACTGATATTAGAGTCCAGATTTTCTGGCACCAATTCCAGGGTTCTTCCTGGTTCCAGGAGCTATTCATTGACTCATTAATTCGTATATTCATGCATTAAATTGTATTAAGCACCTGCTACTTGCCAGGCACGATTCTGGGTAACTCTCAGCGGTGCTGGCACCACAGACTCTACAGTCTATATAGGGCGTCACAGAAGACAGAGATAACTGTCTTTGGGGGTGTCGTTGGAAAATGCTGAGTAAGGCAGCGAGGAAAGAGAATGGAGTTTCCGATAATGTGCTGTGTCCTCGGCACTTCAGATCCTGTCCAGGGACTCCAAAGAAGGGGGCGGTGGGGGGAGCCGCACGAGTTCTGCAGTAGCTCAATTCCTCTGTCACCATATCAGCTCGGAGCAGACCGAAGGGAGACCGGCACGGCCGCGGACGCATGCGCACTCTCGCTCGCCTCCCTGCCAGCGGTGGGAACGCATTGCCCAATGGAAACTTCGTTCGGCGTCTCCGTCCCGCCCCCTTCGCCCTTACCTTATTTCCGCTTCCGGCGCGGAGCTGTAGTTTCAAGATGGTGGCGGCGGCGGTGAGTGCGTCTCGGATGTCCCGGCTGCTCGGCCGGGTCCTCCCACGCGTGGGGCGGCCCATGTCGAGTGGCGCCCACGGCGAGGAGGGTTCAGGTACCGGGGTTCGGGTGGGAGTCGGGCCTCAGCGGCCTGCGCACGACGTGTCCGGGCCGTGACCTTGGCGGGAGGCCTGGCGGGAGGGAGAGGCCGAGGCTGACGTTGACGTTGTGGCCCCGCCGCAGCTCGCCTGTGGAAGGCCCTCACCTTCTTCGTGGCGCTGCCCGGGGTGGGAGTGAGCATGCTCAACGTTTTCCTGAAGACGCGACACGAAGAGCACGTGAGACCCGAGTTCGTCGCCTACCCCCATCTCCGCATCAGAACCAAGGTACGCCCTGCGCCTTTGCTGTCTGTCCTTCAAGAGCCCGTTATTTCATTATCCACTCCCCAGTCCAAGCCCTTAGTGCCCTAGGATGTTGGCTGCCAGTCTGTCTGCGCAAACAGAGCGTTGTATTTTCTCTCCTTTTCCATTAAGGGAAGCCCGCTAGTGGGCCACATCTCCTTTTTTCCAAAAGGTCACACAATAAATGCCTCTAGGTTTTCATTTCCCCCAACTTATGTCACCTCTTGTCTTGTGGTGCACTTCAGAAGCAGCCGTTCCTAGCCTGGAAGCTTGGAGGGTTGGGGTATCCTTTCATAGTTGCAAGCCCTGAAGGTGATTCGACATTTGGGCATTTGGCATGCTAGGTGATGCTAGGTGCTTAAGGACTAGACTGCCGGGTTTTTTCTCACAGTGCCTATTGTTTCATCCCCTTTATTCCTTGGCTGTTCGTGTAGACAGTTATAATGGTCTGTTCTGCATCACCTGATGTCTAATTGTTTCTTAAAAACTGTATCACCTAATTCATTCACATAGGACTGGCCTCGCAGAAACTTATTCTAAACTTGAATTGTAGAACCCCTGAGCCTCGATCCCAGTCTTGTACAGCCTCAGCAGTGGGGAGACAAAAGCAGGCAGATCTCTGAGTTTAAGGCAATCTGGTCTCCATAGTGAACTCCAGGACAGTTAGAGCTATTTAGTGAGACCTGGTCTCAGAAAAGAAAAGGTATTTGACAGCATCCTTGACTTGGCCTCTGCCCACTAGATGGCGGTACCACCCCCTCCTAAATGTCTCTAGATAATGTTCCAATATCCTCCTGCCCCTGGGGAGCCATGGGGCAGCTCAGGTCTATAACCCTGCACTTGGAAGGTGAAGGCAAGAGGATCAGTAATTCAAGGTCATTCTCTGCTACATTATAAAAACGAAGTTAGCTTGGGCTAAGTGGGACTGCCTCAAAAAAAAAAAAAAAAAAAAAAACCTAAACTAAAAATGGTTGTTGTGAGCCATTGACCTAGAGCAATGCTTTTCAAACACAGTGGGAAGGGACTGAAGAGATGGTTCAGTGGTTTAGCGCACTGCTCTTACAGAAGAGCCTAATTTAATTCCTAGCACACAACTGCCTTTAATTCCAGCTGAAGGTGGAACTGATGTCTTTGGCCTCCTCATACACCTGCGCTTTTGTGCATATAAATCCCCCACCCTCACCCTGTCCACAAACATAGAACACCTCTTTAATTCTGGCACTTAGGAGGCAGGAGCAGCTAGATCTCTGTCTACATAGCATGATGCAAGACAGCCAGGGCCACATAGAGAGACCCTGTCTCAGAACAAAAACATTGTGATTTGCAGAGTCATGCGTGCTAGTATTCCCAGCACTCAGGGGACAGAGGCAGGAGGATCATTGTAATTTTTTTGGCCTGCGCGTTCTATGTAGTGTTCTAGATTAGTTATATAAGGAAACCCTATTTCAAAATCCCAACTCAGGGTTCTGAAGATGCCCAGCAGATAAAGGAACTTGCCACCAAGCCCGAGGACATGAGTTCAGTCTCCCTCTGTAGGAGAGAACTACTCATACAAGTTGTCTTCTGGCAGTGGCCATACACATATACAAAACAAATGGCGGGTTTTTGTTTTGTTTTGTTTTTTCTCTTTGGTTTTTCAAAACAGAGTTTCTCTGTGTATCCTTGGCTGTCCTAGACTCACTTGAACTCGCAGAGCTCCACCTGCTTCTGCCTCCTTGAGCGCTGGGACACAGGTGTGCACCACCGCGCCGACAGACTTGTTTTATTTTTATAGCTAGTAGGCAAAAGGATTGAATGTAGGTTGCAGTTTTCTAGTCCTTCTGCATTAAATAAGCATCTCCCTCTATATCTTACCGTTACCATTCTGATACAAGAACAGTGCTACACCTTGACAAACAATAGTACTGGCTGTATCAGTTACCAGGGGAAAGCTAGGAACTCCTTTTTTATGATTAAAAAATACTGTTGTTACTAATGAATAAGTATGTATGTCTACGTGGGCTTATGTACATATGAATGCAGATTATCATGTTGGGTCAGATATGTAAACACCTGACATGAATTCTGGGAACTGACCTTAGATCTTTTGGAAGAGCAGCTCTTATCCACTGAGCCATCTTTCCAATATCTTGTTATTAAAGATCTGTTTTAAATTATGTGTGTGTGCATGTGGATACCCAAAGAAGCCGGAGAGGGCTTCACATCCCCTGGGGCTGGACTATAGGTAGTTTTGAGCTGCTGCCTGACGTGGGTGCTGGGAACCAAACTTGGGTACTGTTCAAGCGCAGAACAGTACATACATACTCTTACTTGCTGAGGCATCTCTTCCCCAGATAGCCATCTTCAGCTTGCTTTTCTTACCATCTACTCAAAGGCCTCCCTGCTAGTTGTTTATTAGAAGACACTTAAGCTATGGGAAAATAGGGGGCTGGAGAGATGGCTCAGTGGTTAATAGCACTAGCTACCTTTCCAAAGGTCCTGAGATCAATTCCCAGCAACCACATGGCAGCTCACAACCATCTGTAATGGGATCTGATTCCTTTTTCTGTTTGCATGAAGAGAAGAGTGTTCATACATAAAATACATGAATAAATCTGGGGGGGAGCTATGAGAAAGTTAAAATAATGCCAATAAAGGATGATCTTGTTTTATGTATTATCTCTTTCAAGCAGTTCATAGCCAAGTTCTAATTGACATCTTCCATCCACAGCCCTTCCCCTGGGGAGATGGTAACCATACCCTCTTCCACAACCCCCATGTGAATGCACTTCCGACGGGCTATGAAGATGAGTAAAGAAAACCTGGATTTCCCCCAGGCAACAAGGGACCACAGCACTGGTTTGGACCATTATTCTGTGTGTGGACCACGAAGGCATTTTGGATGCTAAGCTCATCTTTCCTTGTATCAAATGGTGACCAATACACTGATCTTCCATCCCTTTGCCTTTAAGAGGAGATGGCTTAAATAAATAACTTAAACTTAGATTGTTCATGAGCTGGACGGTGAAGTCTTTGATTAGTCTCAGAAACTGACATTATTTTGCGACTTCGGTGTTTCAGATCTGGTTTAACCCACTGAATTCTATTTATAACTAGATGCCTGTTGGTTTCTTGTGCTTAGGGTGGGTAGAGCCAGTTAAACAAGAGCACAGAGCACTAGGATGGGCTCCCTGGCAGACACTGAATGACTAATGAAATGGCTGCTGCTTAGCACCTGTAACGTGTGCCTGGGGCAACTTCAAAGACTGGGCTACCAAGTTACAGGTCAGCCCAGGCTGCCCAGAAGTGCTGAGCCGTGGTCAGCTCTCCTCTGGGTCCCAGTGCCCTCCTGTTGCAGTCCACCAAAGGAGTCTGGTTCTTACTATTAGGCAAAGAATCATTTGTCAGTCAGGAATGGTGGCGCACTTGGGAGGCAGAGGCAGGCAGATCTCTTTGAGTTTGAGGCCAGCCAGCACTACACATGGAAACCATGTCTAGGAAAAACAACAACACAGCAGTGGTGGTACTTACAAAACAACATAGCCATTAGTTGTCAAAATTGAAGACCTTTAACATGGTAGAGTTACCTTCTGGAGAGGATGAAGTCGGGTAGGTTGAGTGATCAATTGTATTCTCAGCAGCTGTGTTGTCACATGTGGTGTAACGGAAGATGTTAGCGGCTGCTCTTTTTAAGCATCTTCAGCTCCGAGGCTTTCTAGCCTCACCATCATGAGTAGCTGGGTAAAGGCATTCACCATGCCATTATTTCAAGGATTCTTAAGTCTACTCTGAAAGTTAAGGAACTCAGTGTCTTTCTCACCTGATCTGAAAATGATTACCACTACCACCCCTCACCCCCCAAAAAAGAGAGACTCAAGAAAGCCATGGAGGTGCATACTTACAATCTTCAGGACTTTGGGAAGAGTAGTCTGAGGCCAGAGGACTGCCATGGTTCAAAGCTAGTCTGAGCTATAGTCTTAAGACTTGAGAGAAAAAAAACAACTATGAGATAGCTCAGCAGGTAGAGGTACTTACTGCTAAGCCTGATAACCTGAGTTTTAAACCCAGAACATACACATTGGGAGGGAACTGACTCCAAAATTGTCCTATATCCACATGTATACCGTGAATTAATTGTAAGAAAATTACTACCCCAGTGTGGTAGTTTGAATGAGGATGGCCTCATCGACATATGTTTAAATCCTTGGTGTCCCCATCACCCCACTGTGACCACGCCATTCCCAGTTAGCTCTCTGGCTTGTGCGTGTGGATTGGGATCTTAGTTCACAGCTCCTGCTCCAGCTTCATGCCTGTCTGCTGCCATCTTCTCTGACATGATCATGGAATTTTTATGAGTCGCTTTGGTCATGGCATCTCTTCACAGCAACAAAAAAGTAACTAAGACACCCAGTGTGGTGACACACACCTGTAATCCCAATACTTGGGAGGTGGAAGTAGGAGGATCAAGAGTTGTTCATCTATGTTGAAGTTTGAGGCCAGCCTGGGCTAAATGAAACCTTTGCCTTAAGCAAAAATGCTCTTGAGATGTAGCTCAGTTGATAAATGCTCGAACGCATGAAATGTTGGGTTTGACCTCACTAGTACATGGATGAGGTATGGTCTTAACTAAATCCCAGTGTGGGTATGTGGGAGATAGAAGCTGGAGGATCAAGCATTCAAGGTCATTCTCAGCTATTCACTGAATATTGGACTCCATGAAACTATTTCAAAAAACAAAGGCTCACCAAGACAGATCCCAGAACTCTCATATAGGCCTCAAAAATCTCGTGTTCTTTGAACAATGACCCTTAACTAGTTGACCTTAAGCCTTGCACATGACCCCTGAACTAGCCTCCTAGAACCAAGCTTTTTTGTTTTGTTTTCTTTGAGATAGGGTTTCTCTGTGTAGCCTTGGTAGTCCTGTACTCACTTTGTAGACAGGCTGGCCTCAGAGATCCACTTGCCTCAGCCTCCTGGAGTGCTGGGATTGTAGGTGTGCCACTGTGACCAGCTCAGAGCCCAGCTTTTTTTACTTTCAAAAAATAGGAATTTCTTTTATATCCACAGTTTTCTAAAAATTTAAATAAATATGTGTTTTTTGTTTGTTTTCAGGACAGGGTTTTTCTTGGCTGTCCTAGACTCACTTTGTAGATCAGGCTGGCTTTTAGGTCACAGAGATCCACCTGCCTCAGCCTCCCAGAGTACAATGCTGGGATTACAGGCATGTGCCACCATGTCCAGCTTGAAAATGTTTTGAAATGATATTAGGGTTGGTCATATTAAAATGAAGTAGTAATTAGTAACACAGGAAACAATGTAAGCCCTTTTCATCTGTCTTTAGGGATATACTAAATTCTATTCAAGGGAGGCAGGTGTGAAGACCACATGACATTGTTGTGGAACCACAATACATAATATTTAAAGAAGCTTTTTATATAAGCTGGGCCTTTAAAGGTAGAGGCAGGAGGCCAAGCTGTAAGTCAGATTTCTCACCTAAGTGCCCATCAGTCACCTAAGCTTAGACAAATCAAGTTACAAGGCAAAGCTGGCTCTTAGCAAGACAATGAGATACATGGGGCAATGGGTAATAAGTGCCCCCAGTTCCAAGAGAAAGAGTAGAATCAAGATTTATTCCATGTCATGATTACAGACTTAGGGCATGATGGGCAAACAACAGTAAGGAAGCACCTTTCCCCCACTCAGCTGGATACACTTTGCCTTTTATATGATATGCAAATTCATCTTAGTTTGTGGAGTTAAAAGTTGGCAGCAGCAAAGCTGTAATGCAGGTGATTCTTGAACAGCCACTTCCAGGCGCTGTGAGCTCCAAAGTGGTGCTATGTCGCTTCTGAAGCTTTTAAATGTTAATCCAACACCTTGTTAAGGCGGGAGCTGAGGAAAGCTGCTTTCTGCCTTGATAACCCAGGCCACAAGCGGTTGTAACTGTTCCTATAAAAATACAATCATGTTCCCATGCACTGATTGAAACGGCTGTGTCCGGATCCCTTTCAGAGCATTAGCTCCCTGAGAGGAAAAAAGAGGTCCTGACCAACTGTCACAAAAAATGACTCCCAGGCAGTGTATCTATTGTCCTCGGCAGCGAAAGTCAGCAACCTTGATCATGACCAGTTCATCATTATTCACACCCAAGAGCTAGGTAAAGCTGATTCCAGACCATGTTTTGCAACCATAACCCCAAGAAGCTGTTCCATTGTAGCACGTGGAATTACTTCCAGATGCCAGCGAAAGCAAAGTTGCCTCAAAGCGAGACTGACAGCTGCTCGTTCAGAAGTGAGAGGAGACCACCAAGATGGGGAAACTCTTCAAATCCCATCTTCACAGCCTTAGCTGACAAAATCCAGAGGCCTCTCAATTTACTCACTTCTTCCAAGTGACAGGCAGGTCAAGAGGAGTTTTCAGGCTTTTCTTTGCCATGGCCCATGAACTCCAGTCCTTCAATAGGAATCTCTTTCTCCTTTATTGCTTTCTGAAGGAAGAAGAAAATGTATTATGAAAGTCTATGGAAACTTAAAGTCCATGTTTTGTAACTGCAGTGTAATGGCACAAAGGTGAACCGAATGAACTGGAAAGGCTTGAAACACACAATTCAAGGGATACTCCCTGCCCCCCTTTTTTGTTTTTAAAAACAGGGTTTCTCTGTGTAGCCTCCAGGCTGGCCTTGAACTCACAAAGTCCACCTGCCTCTGCCTCCCTGGTGACACCCTTTTTTGATACATGATTTTATTGTGTAGCCCTAGCTAGCCTGGAATTCACACATTTTTGCCTATCTCTGAATCCTGGGATTAAAAGTGTGTACCACTATGCTAGACACTGTTTTAACAAGTACCACTGTAAAGACACTGAATCCTGTGTGGTTTGCACACCTGCTCTTCGGAGGGGAGTCAGGAGGGTCAGGTAAGGCATCTCTATCTTAGTGACTGTTCAGTCTGAATTCCAGTACAAACCGCTAGGTGACCTTGTGTCACCTTTACTCTCTGAGAATTGGCTAAAAGTAGGTCCTGGAATTGAGAGGATGTTTTAGGTAAAGTTAGTAGAAGTACATCCACTGGTCTGAAATCAAACTTTACTGGCTGCAACGGGGAATTGGTGGAGAAAAACAGGGCAACAGAGAGATCATAACAGTGGCGACCTCCACAATGCCATAACAGTCTAGAAAACAGTAAACACAATCCATTTCAAATAACAATGAAATGTTGCACCACGAAAATACCAAGGTCACCAGACTCCACTGCCTTTGAACCAATCACTTCCTGTTTCTAAGTGCTAGTCCATGTGTAAGACATAGATAATAGAACAACTCGTCACCAAGCCTGGTGACCCGAACTTGATCCCCGGAACCCCCATACATGGGAAAAAAGAAAACTGACTCCAGGAAGTTGTCCCCACTCTCAACACAAACGCGGACATACACCTTTTTTTTTTTGAGACAGTTTTTCTGTGTAGCCCTGGCTGTCCTGGGACTCACTATAAAACAGGCTGTCCTCGAACCTATGGAAATAGGCCTGCCTCTGCTTTCCGAGTGCTGGGAGTACAGGCATGCGCCACCGCCGCCCGGCTGCACCAATTTCTTCACATACGGATAACTATGGCTACTCCCAAATAAGTGACCCCCCCCCCCCAAATTCTAATGTACTCCGTAACAAGCAAAGCACCGTAAAGCATCACAGTGCCCAGCGGAGAGACAGCCAGGCAATGGGATGGGATGGCGGAGCAAAGGGCTGGCTGCGGCAGCCCTGCGGCGGGCCTGGGCAGGCTCACCTGGACGCACTGCTGGTAGCGTTTGAAGAGGTCGGTGCACGGGTCCCCGGAGCCGTCCCCTTTGAGGAACTTCTCAGCAAACCAGCGGTTGAAGCATTGGTCGTACTCGCGCTTCATGTCAGTGCAAGCCTCCCCGACGCTGTTCATGGCGCCGGCAGCTGATGTGCGGCGACGCGCTCTAATGTCGTCACTCGCGCGCGCGTCGCCCCACCTTTCGTCATTACCGAGGCCGAGAAGCAAAGATGTGGGCACGGGCGGCGAGGGCGCATTTTCGGGCTCGGTTGGACGGGGCCCGAGGCTCCGCTTCCAAAGCGGGTCCACAGGGAAAGGTGCAGGCGGCGGGGCAGGGGAGCCACGCTCCATGCCTCACCCCGCAGGGCGGCGGTGGCGTGCCCGCCGCGGTGATGGAGCATCTGGAGCGGCTGGCGCTGGTGAACTTCGGCAGCCGCGAGGCGGTGACCCGGCTGGAGAAAGCCATCGCCTTCGCTGATCAGCTGCACGCCGTGGACACCAGCGGGGTGGAGCCCCTGGAGTCGGTACTGGAGGACAGGTAAACTCTCGGCTGCGGCCTCGAGAACTTGACCTTGACACCGTACGAGGTGTTTCAGGTCCCTTGCATAATTGGCAATTTGTCCAGTCATCACCGCGAGGATGTCTTCGCTCTTCCCTACTTCATTACAAATCCTGTCGCTCCGGTTTAGAACCCTTTAGCCTTCCCAGTCTCGATGTAAATAGGAACAAAATAGGAACTAACTGCTTGCTAGTCATCGCCTTAGAATCCCCTGCTTCAGAGAGCCCCTATCCATCTCTGGGATGTACTGTTCCTTGTGTACCCTCCAGCCTGTGCTGGCTTCCAGGTCACACTCATTTCCTCGAAGATGTTAGTTTTAGCACTTGCCTAAGCATCAGATTAACTATCTGAAGGAATCAAATACTATTAAATATATGTTGGAGACCTTCTCAAATCAGTTCATATGCTAATATGGTACAGTCAAATAACATGTAATGTGTTTTATTTAATTTTTGAAACAGAATCTGGCTACATAGCACAGACTAGCTTTGAACCTAAGGTTATCTTGCAGCTTCCTTAGTGCTTTTTATAGGCCTGTATCTCCACACCAAGTATCAGTTTCTATTATTTTTATTTACTTCTTTTGAGACAGGGTATCATGTAAACCAAGCAAGCTAAGAATGACCTTAAATTCCTAGCCCTATACCTCCATCTCCCATGTCCGGATTATAGGATTTATGTAGTGCTTACAGGCTGGCCTCAGATTTAGCGCTGTTCTTGCCCAGTTGCTCAAATGCTGGGATTATAGGTGTAAGGCACCATTCTTGTTTTGAAGATGATTTTTTAAATTAATTATGTGTATGGGTGTTTGGGCTACTTGTTATGTCTGTTTATAAGGGTGTGGGACCCACTAGAACTGTAACTCCCAAGTCCTGCGGGAAGTGTGCCACTGCTGCTGATACAACCAAAAAGTTTCCTCACGGCCTGCATGGCATCGTCTGTCACAGCCTTGCCCGTTTCTCCAAGCCTGCACTGTCATGTTCTTCCAGCTTCTTGAGTTTTCTCAGACTTTTCTCATACAGTTCTCAGCCTTTGATTTTTACCAGCTCCTTATCCCAACTTTCCCCTAATTTTCCTTTCTTCTTAAGCTGTCAACTGCCATTATTTTTTCCTTTGTACAGATACATTCTTTGTGGTTCTACTGATATTCAAAAGAGCTGTTAATCACAACCTATCTACTTGAATGTTATTTCTCTGCCCCTCTGCTTCTGATTATCCACATTCCATGGAGTATGTTTGTATTGCTTACTTTTGGTGTCCAGGACTGAGTAAATACTTGGGAAGTGCTCAAATTATTTGGGGAGAAAATAGAAGCACAAAGAAGTTGGGGGTGCAGGCTTGCCGCCAAGCCTGATGATCTTAGTGCGAGCCTTATGAGCCACATGGTTGAAGAGAACTGACTTGAATAAGTCCTCTGTCCTCCACACACACATCCTTGTGCCTACCTCTGCCACATACAAAATTTTAGAATTGTAACTTTCTTCAAAAGTCAGGATTTCCTGCCTTCCAGGAGTAACTAAAAAAAAAAAAAAAAAAAAAAAAAAAAAACTGGCCATATTTGGCATGTGGTGGCCGGAATATAAGCTTGTCATTCAGTGGCCTGCATGTTTCCATAAATTATATATATTTTAGGTTAATGAATCCCACTAATCATTTTAATATGACATTGTAGGACTTCAAAAAAAAAAATAGACCTCATTAATCCCAGCATTCTAGGCCAGACCTGAATATTGGTTGTTGTTTTTTTTTTTTTTTTTTTTTTTTAATTTTTATGTGTATGCATGTGTGTAAGAATCCACAGAGATTGGAAGAGGGTGCCTGTGAGATTCCCTGGAACTGGAGTTACAGGCAATGTGAACCTCCGTGTGGCTACAAGGAGCCAAACCCAGGCCTTCCGTAAGAACATAGTGCTCTTAGCTCTCGAGCCATCTCTTCAGCCTGACTTCAGTGTTTTAAATGCTCATCTGAACACGAAACATCCTAGTAAAGACAGGCTTTCAACAGCTTTACGCAATAGCAGTAAAAGCCCCAAATGGCTAACAGAAGTCTGTCTACACATCAATAATGTATTATTTGGGTTGAGCTAGAAAGCCTTAGTGTCTATGCTGTGGACCAGTTTACATGCAATATCTGTTATCATATGATTTTAGAAGGCAAAGAGAGTGTTGGACCTATATAAAAGCAGACTCAGAACTTCACAGGAAAAGGCTAGGTCTTGGGACCCGTAGGCCTACAACTCTCAGAGAGTGCTGATAAGCTAGATAGTAGCATGACGTGGCTGTTGCCCTCTTGAGCTGTCAGCAGGTGAAATTATCCAGACTGGCCCAGTTGGGCTCCTGACTTTGTCCTGTGGAGGGAGGAAGGCGTTCATGAGTACCTACCCGTCCCTAAGATTTACCACCAGTTAACAGCTACTGGGAGATGTTTTTCTTCAGTGTCATAACTTTACGTAAGTTGTCCATGCTCCTAACCTCAGTTAAACCAACTGCTTCACCAAGTTAGATTTTAGTCTGTCACTGTCATTATTAGATGTTAGTCTTCCTGGGAAAATTTTGTACAACAGAGCAGTCTGGCTTCAACATGTGATGCTCCTGCCTTAGCCTCATGCGTTAGGTGAGTGCCACCATACCTGCCTGGTGTTTTTAAAAATCTTTATTACATTTATTAGAGACTGTATAAGAGTGTCACAGTACATGTGTGGAGGGGAGCTGGTTCTCTTCCATTTGGGTTCTAGGGATCAAACAGCACCTTTCCAGGAGCCATTTTCACTACCCCACTTTGTTTTCTTTTAAAAAAAAAAAAAAAAAATCATATTTTGAGGTTGGAGAGATAGCTCAGTGGTTAAGAGTAAGAAGTGTTCATATACCAGGTTTGGTGGCACATGCCTGTGATCTCAGCACTCAGGGAGACAGGCCAGCCTGGCCTACAAAGCTAGTCCAGGATAGCTAAGACTACACAGAGAAACCCTGTCTCAGAAAACTAAGGGGGAAAAAAAAGTGTTCATGCAGAGGACCTGAGTTCAGTTCCCAGCACCCAAGACAGGCAGCTCAAAACTGCCTCTAGCTGCAGCCCCGGAAGATCCCATACCCCTGGCTTCCACAGGCACCTGTATTCATGTGCACATACCCACACAGACACACACATAAATAGTAAGAATAAATCTTTATTACATTTGATGTTCCCAGCGATTTTATAAAGAGGTGAAAACATAGAGATGGTAGGTACTCTGCAGTGTTGGGACGTGGATTCAGCTGATTTCGGGTCTACACTTTTAGCCATTCTCCAACAGAACCCGAAGTCCCAGAAAGACCAGTGGCCACCTTTGCATGGTACAACTGCAGGTTTTTTCTTTTCTTTCTTTCTTTTTTTTGTGTCTGTCTGTCTTCTGTGCTAGAAACCGAATTCAGGGCCTCACACATATGAAACAATCATTGTACCACTGACCTACAGCCAACTTTCCCCCCCTTTTGGTTAAAAAACACAGAGGAAAGGCTGGACGTGGTAGCAAATACCTTTAATCTTAGCACTCAGGGCAGGCTTGGGCTACATAGTGAGTGCCAGAGCAGCCAAGACTACAGGAGGAGACCCTGTCACAAAGTGCAACCTTCACTTTTTGAAAAGAAACGTAAGGTCTAGAAAGATTATTCCAAGACCAGTTAATGTAATACTTTTGTGTGGTTTGGTGGTGGTTTTGGGGTACAGGGGTATTACAGTGGCACGCTCATCCAGGAGAATGAGGCAGAAGGATGAAGAGTTTTAAGACCAGCCTGACCTACACAGGGAGAAAAACAAAAAACCAACCAAACAAGTGTGTATCCTAGAACCAGCTCCAACCCTCCATTCTTACCCTGAATGAGACTGTCTGTGTGGGGTGCCTTTCTTCAGGTCAGCTCCTCTTTGCTAGTGATTTCAGGGTTCTTTTTATTCTTATTTGAGACCATCCTGAACTAGCTCTGTAGACCAGGATAACCGTAAACTCAGAGATCACATGCCTCTGCCTCCCAGGTGCTGGAATAAAGGCGTGCACCACCATGCTCAGCTAGACTCCTTGTTCACAATGGATCAAATATCCTGCAACACCTCATTTGTCTGTTTTTGGAGACAGGGTTTCTCTGTGTAGTCCTGGCTGTCCTGGGCAGCTTTGTAGACCAGGCTGGCCTTGAACTCACAGAGATCCACCTGTCTTTCCTTCCCCCAGTGCTGGGATTACAAGTGTGTACCATCAAGCACACATTTTAATGAATATCTAGAAGCAGGCTGACTATGGTAAGACACATTCATATTTTGAAATCAGAGTGAAACTTCATCATTGTAGTCACATTTTGTTTCACTAATTTATAACCTAGAAATTTTTAGTTGTTTATTTATTTATTGAGGTGGAATCTTGGTATGTAGCCCTGGCTGACCTTGAGCTTGGTATATAGACTGGCCTGGAACTCACCTGCCTCTGCCTACTGAGTGCTAGAATTAAAGCAGTGTACGTTCACCTAACTGTCTGAGTATTGCGCATATATGGAGACACAGAATGCAAGTGAAGGACCAAGGTCAATGTGTGGGAATCTATTCTTCCCTATGGGCACCAGGGTTTGAACTCAGGCTAAGCTTTGTGACAAGTGCATTGACCCACTAAGCAATCTCACCAGGTCCCATCTGTTTCTAGAGAAGCCACTGTGTCTAGAGAGTAAGAGAGCCCTGATATTTGTGATATATCAGTTTGAGACAAGCCTAAGCTGGCCTCCAGCTCACTCCATACACCTGAGGCTGGCCTACCTGAGTGTGGAATTTTCAGCACACGCCACCTAATCCCACTGTGTCTGCTGAGTGGCCGGCACCTGTGTATCTCCTAAGTGGCTGTCATAATAAATAAATAAATAAATAAATAAATAAATAAATAAATAAATAAATAAGCATTCATCTTATCTTATTCAGCTAAACTTCCTGCCACTCTCTGAATTAGCTGTGTTCTCTTCCATGGCAGTCATGCTGCATCTGGTAAAATGTCTACTTCCCCGCCCTACTCCCCTCCAGTTATTTCCTGTCCATCCTTTAGCAGTGACATCACTGATTCTTGAGTACATGCTTCTCACTGAAGCACAGTTAGGGACATGTGCTAGTCCTCTGACATACTTTGCCTAGTTTTTGGTGTATATGTGTGTGTGTGCGCGCCTGGGTATGTACACCACGGGTGGAAAGTGCCCTTTGAAGAGAGCATCAGATCCCCTGGAACTGGAGTTATCAGTGTTTGTGAGTCACTGCATAGGTGCTGGGAACCAAACCTGGGTCCTCTGGAAGAATAACCGGTGCACCTGATCATTGAGCCATCTCTCCAGCCCACAGTTGTATCATAATTGCCCTTTCACTTGACCTTACCAGAATTAATCTACTCCTATTATCCAGAAAGACTTGCTCATCAAACTGGGGATATAATTACAGTTTACCTCAGTGGCCAGGCGAACCTACAAACAGCAGGCAACTCTTTGGTCTGTTTTGACCATGACTCCCTACCTTGAGTTAGTGCAGACAGCTCTTTGGTCTACTTTCACCCAGTACTCCCACCTGGTGACAGTGGCCCACAGCAAGGACCTTTGTGCCCCCCACCAGCCTGCCCTCTCTTCTCTAGAAGCTGCAAGTTTCTCAGACTCTAACTCTGACCTTTGGGTTTTGCAGATGTCTCTACTTGAGATCTGACAATGTAGCAGAAGGCAACTGTGCTGAAGAACTACTACAAAATTCTCAACAGGTTGTGGAGGAGTACTTTGTGGCCCCCCCAGGTACGTGTTACCTACAGTGGCTCAGCATAGTAGTTCAAACATTCTAAAAACAAATACATACAAACAGACAAACTGCACACAAGTGGTGGCGTTAAAATGACAACAGTCCAGGAGTCGTACTCACCTTGAGGGGCTGGTCATAATGAAGGAACAGTACAGGACCAAGGGTGTGTGTGCCAGACAGTACATCTCTCTGGCCTGGAAGCCTGTCTACAGGAACAGCTGGCATTCCCTGGTACTCTTCTGGTGCCAGAGGAACCTGAGCCTATTTGCTTGGAGAACCTCAGTGTGACATTGTCTGATGTTTCCTCAACTTGTACCAATTCAAATGAGAAAAGTTAACAGGCCACACAGGCCAGCTGAACTATACCCATTAGCCATATATGTATCTTAGCCATGGCCTGTAATCTCTGATGTAGTAACTTGCATTTTCAACCTCACTGTACACACTTTAAGACTTCTCTCCTGTGCATGAGTCCTCAGAGTTGCCTGACCACTGGGCACTTTGGGAATCAGACACCAAGGCCAGGCAGTTGACAATAAGCTCCTGTTAAAGGAAGGATGGAAATCTAACCTAGCTAACTTATGGGCTAACCTCTTATCTATGCTGCATTTATTTGCATGAGCTGGCTAAAGAATCTTAAGACCCTGAAATCATCTTAGGGCCCAGGAGCTGCTACGCCATCATTGTGTCTGCTGACCACATGACACACAGAACCTTGCTCCTGACTTACTCAGTTTTAGCCCTCCACTCCTACCTGCATATACATGATGGCTGACTATGTACAGCTTGCCTCTACAATGAAAAGTGTGGATTTGGCTTCATTTTGAACTCTTCCTGATACTTGAGAGTTGAGAAAGGGTGGCATCAATACTCATGTCCACTGTTTCCCATGGAAACCAGTGACCACTCAATTTAGGAGAACCAGCTGATTCAACTATACTATTCTTTCTTATTTTCAAACAGGTAACATTTCTTTGCCAGATATGGCAAATAAGAGTCCTCCTCCCACAGCAGAGTAGCTATTCTGGGAAAGGGGCACCCTGTCAACATTGTGGAATCACAAGGGCGGTCCTTTGCTACTGTGAATTCTAGTGTAAACCAGACATCCACGATTGCTTGGTAACTGATCCTTGGACAGACCTGGAAGAGAGTCCCAGCTGACAAAATACCACAGGCCTGCTTGCAAGGAACTGGATCAAGTACTCTGGCCTGTTCTGTATGGAAAATACCCTCCTTCATGGTCCACTGCCGTATCAAAATGTATCTGTGTGAACTTTTCTGTTTATACTTAGGAGATAGTCCACCTGTGACCAAGTGACAAACTTGAGTTAACTACAGCCTGGAAACTCCTAATTTAGAACCATCTTCCTTTCTCACAAAGTGAGCCAAACCCCTCCCCACACACCTTGTTCGTGAACACCAGCCAAACAGTTTGTTCAGAAAAGAGAACTTGTTAAAAATAGGCCTGGGCTTGTTCTCATTCTTCCTCATCCCTTTATCTGCAATGCTTCCTCACACACCCCTCTTCTTTGTTTGCTCAGATAGAGCCTCTTTACTTGAGGCTGGCCTGGGGCACACAGCTGTCTTCCTGCCACAGCCTCCCCAGTACAGGGATGAGAGGCATGAACTACCTTTTACAGGCAGTTTAATTTATAATGTCAGTTCTAACTGTAAGACCTCTGAATCTGGGTTAGAGATGGTTCAGTGGTTAAGGGAACTCCTAAACTGAGTGTGGTAGAACCTAGAACGAGTGTGCCTAGAACCCCTGCACTTGGGAGGCAGAGGCAGAAAGATCCCAAGTTTGAGACCAGCCTGGTCTACAGAGGCAGAGCTACACAGAGAAACCCTGCCTCAAAAAACAAAACAACACCACCAAACCTAGCACTTTCTAATCTTCAGTCTGACCTGAACCAGGACCTCCTGTAATTCCAGCTCCAGGGCTTCTCATGCATCTTTCTGACCTCTAGCACTAACACACATGTGGAACATACACATAAATAAAAATCAATCTTAAAAAAAAAATAAAGTTAAAGAATCTTCTCTGTGGGGGGCTGGAGAGACGGCTCAGAGGTTGAGAGCACTGGCTGCTCTTCCAGGGGTCCCGAGTTCAGTTCCCAGCAACCACAGGGTGGCTCACAACCGTCTACGGTGGGATCTGGAGCCCTCTTCTGGCGTGCAGATGTACATGCAGGCAGAACACTGTATATGTAACAAATAAAAATTTAAAAATGAAAAAAAGAATCTGCCTTGGTGTTGAAATTTTGAAATTATAATCATTCCAGTAATTTTTCTGCTCCTTACACACTGGTATGACAACTCAAATACTTCTTTTTGGTCAGTACCTGTTTGATGAAACTATACACTTAATCAAAGACAACCATACACACCAATTACTAAACATTTAAAATATATTTCTAAACAAAATGGGTGACTCAGTTGTAGTAACTGCAGCACTGATTTTTTTTGTCCCATAATCAGGAGTGAAAAATATACAACTTGTTTCTGAACCAAAGCCACAACTTCTATTTCTGCAGTGTAAAACATGTCACTGCTAGTATGATGGCCCTAGGTGAACTTATATAGTTCCTTAAAAAAGAAAAAAAGAAAGAAAGAAGTTTAAAAAATTTCCTAAGACACTAAATTATCAATCTGGAATGTAGATTCTGAGCACAATGCAGCTCAGCTCATCCAAAAAGAGAGAGAGAGAGAAACTACTCCCACCTTCCTCAATAAGGCCTATAGGTAGAGAAGTAGTGTGGAGAACCCCTGTTTTGGTAAGGAGAATCACGGCCCCTGGACCCAGACCTCGACCGTGAATAGCCATAGCTGGTGCTCCTCTCCGGATAAACTCGGATGTATGAAGTTTCACCCTGAAATTCAAACAAACAAAAAGGAAAGTAAAGAATCTGAATAACCAGCAAAAGCAACCTCTTAACCTGACTGTCGTGCGTGCCTGGCTTGTAATCTTATCAAACCTTCACAATGTTGCATGGAGACAGGTACCCTTACTCTCCATTCAAGATAAAGGAATGCATGCCTCTCTCTCTCTCTGTTCTGAACTTGCAGGATGTTGGCAAAGCAAACCCCTTGGCTTTGTTTGCTGTACATAGATCTTCAATGGTTCTTTAATGGTACTGAAGTAATGAAAATGGCCTGCTGCTACTATGGCTGCATTAGACTTCCTAGAAAGTAGGAACCCACCTCATGAGAGCGGAACTTGGTGTCGTCCAGCTTCCGCAGAGCGTATTCCATGTCTTCTTTTCTCAGATATTCAACCATCCCCATTCCATCCTTTTGTACGTCTGCATAACAGACATCCCCAGCTTCGCGCATGTGATCTTTCAGGTCCTGCCAGCTGCCTGATGGAGGAAGACCTAGGCAGAGAATGTACACAAGCCACATCCTCAGTCATGTTAACTGCCCTATGAAGAGCCAGCAACACCTATGGTGGGCTATATCTGTGATCATTTAATTCTTAAGGGTTCCCAAGTCACAAATCCTTAAGGGCACAAAACCAGAGAAATACACTTAAGTATAGATGGTAAACCAACATGAGAAGCTGGTCCAAGCTAACTAACTGTCTGGAGACCAAGGCTTCCCAACAAAGCATCCTTGTTACAGGTTTACAGCCTCTGAGCATTTATAACTCTGTTCTTCACAACCAATATGACACTCCCAAAACTGAGTGTCAGGTTTTTCCATTATGAAATTTATTAGTACCAAGTATTTCTTGCTGAACTTATTTTCCTAAGACACGGGAACTTTGAAATAAGCCAAGTGTAGCTGAGGGATAGCACAACAACAAAAATCAAAGTTTGTTGACAGACCACAGAGTACCTCGTAAGAGATCACCAACATTCCTCACTACAGTTGGGGAAAGGTAACACTCAACGCTAGAACTAGTTGGGAGTCATACAACCCTACCTGATGTCATGAAAGGGAAATGTGCTCCTGCTCTCAAAGGCTGTGTTTACCGCTCACAGCTCAGGACTGCAGCCATTTCCTAATAGTTTTCTAAGCAGGATTTCAGAGCAGCATGGAGAGAAAAAAAGATAATGTATGACATCTTGAAGGAGGGAATAGAGTCCTAGGGTTAAAAAATTACAAAGGGATACAAGATAGACAGATACCATCACTCTTATGCACTGTGACTGTGGGACATTCACACTTTAAAAGGTGCCAGGCTCAATATATTTTACTCCATTAGGGCTCCCATAGTCTTGTGCCATGTGCAGAAGGTCTTAACACTGTATTGATATTTTAAAGACACACAAACTTTGAGCTTAGCATTTCGTCCATCATTCACTGACACCAGTTTTAAGTAAATGCTCTATGCTTTCCAGTATAATCCCCAAGATCCTAAATTGTTTGAATCTAGCTCCTGTGATATCTATAAAGCCAGATACCAAGGAGCATTCCCAAAGAAAACATTTTTAGAATTCTAGATCAAAGGTTTTTCCATCATCTTGTCCTCTCATCAATAAAAGCAGGTAGATCTCTGAGTTTGACACCAGCCTAGTTTACAGATTGAGACTACAGCCAAGACTATACAGAGACCCTGTCTCAAAACAAACAAAAAAAGTAACAGGTTGCTGTCCCACAAGGCTGTATTACTTGTACAATTTTGTTTGTATAATACCTGCCTCCCTAAAAACTAGAGCAGAGCCTTAGGCTGTCTGTGTGCACTGGCAACTGAAAAGCCAACATATCCCACGTACTGAACCATAAGCTAGGATTCCTCAGAGGCCAGACTCTGAAGTAGTGTCCATGCACCATCTCATTCAACAAGCTAAGAACATACCTGAAACGAGAACTCGGAAATCAGATCGTCTTGTAGGAGGCCCATTCCTTGCACCACGGGGCCACCCACCACGACCTCCGTAAGTCCTAGGGAATTCCACACGAAGTCGACACTGGCCATAATCATAACCATTTCTTCCATAAATTGCATCCTCAGCATCTCTGCAAAGAAAAGCTTGAAATCAGTGCTGCTCGGATAGACTGGATGACTTCCCGTGAAGAGCGTGAATGGCTGAATGTGAACATCAGCCTGAGGGAACAGGAGGAAGGATACCAAAACAGTCTTGATGTACTTCTGCTTTAGTTGGGGACCTTTCACATTACTGAAATAGGTTTTGCAGACGGGCCAATAAGATGGCTCAGCCACAGCATGCATACACTCTTAAGTGCAGAATATTTACTCAGAATCTGAAAAAATATTTTTTAAACTTACAGTTAATGAAGGGATTTGAATATGAGCAAAAGATGTGATATGTATGCATGAAGGTATCATGACCAAACTCATTATTCTGTACATATTAAAAGAATTGCAATTGTCAAGCATATGGGTTTTCTATGGATGAAAAATGGAGAAATAAACAGAGTATTTTGAAGGATATTGATTTAGAAACTAGAGAGAAGGTGGCTCAGCTGCTAAGAGAGCTTTCTGTTCTTACATGGGACCATGATTCAGTTCTCAGCACGCACACAGCAGTTCTTAGCAGTCTGTAACTAGTTCAAGAGAATCCAATGCTTTTTCTGACCTAGAAAGGCTCCAGTATGTATATGACCTACATACATACATATATACATACCAGATGCACAGACAAATTAATTTTTCTTGGGGAAAAAAGGCTAACTCAGAGGAATAAAATAATTGTTGAAAGCTGGGCACTGTGGCACACGCCTGTGATCACAGCATTCTGGGAGGCAAAGGCAGGCAGATCTCTGTGAGTTTGAGGCCAGCCTGATCTACAAAGTGAGTCCAGGACAGGCAAGGCTACACAGAGAAATCCTGTCTCGGAAAAACAAACAAATAACTGCTAATTATTGATTTTTGCTGATACACCAAATTTATCAAAACATGGCAAGCATTTTCTCTAACACAGTGGCTCTCAACCTGTCCCGACCCCTTTGGCAGGCCTCTATCGTCCCAAATATTTACATTACAATTCATAACAGCAGCAAAATTAGTTATGAAGTATAAAGGAAAATAATTTTATTGTTGGGGGTCACTACAACATGGGGGACTGCAGCATTAGGAAGGCTGAAAATATCCTACATTAGGCCCCTTAATATTCTTCCACAAGGCCCAATGACATGAAGCTTGAGGGGGAAGCACATTAAAAAGTTCCAAAAGGCCAGGTGTGTAATCCCAACACTGGGAAGACTGAGGAGGAATGTTCTGAGACCACCCTGGTCTACAAAGAAATACTGTCTCACAAAGTCAGCACAAATTTAAATAAAGGCATGTGAGGGCCTGAGGATGGTGCAGTCGGTAAGAGCACTTGTTTATAACCGTCAGTAACTCCGGTTCCGGGGGAACCGGCGGCCTCTTCTGACTTCGCTGGACAACAGGCATACATGCAGAGCAAATACATATAGGTAAGACACACACATAAGTAAATCTTTTTAAGGAAGATTAAACAAGGGCTGGATATGGTGACTCACGTCTTTAATACTGGTAACAGAAGCCAGAGACAAGCAGATCTCTGTGAGTTCAAGGCCAACATGGTCTACCATAGCAAATTCCAGCCAATCAGAGCTAAAGTATAAGACCCTGTCTAAAACAAACAAACAAACAAACAAACAAGGCATCAAGGAACACATCCACAACAGTGCTTACTGTTGAAATGTATTTCTAATGGAGCCTGAGAAGGGGGAGACATTAAGAACTAAAAGCAGAATTTGTGCATAAATGATTTGAGTTACCTGTTTAAGCTTTTTGTACTTCTAATTGAGAAATATGCCTTATCTGGCTGGGTTATCAAAAGGACAAAATGCTAACATTTTAAGTACTTTGTTTGAAACTTCTCAAACAATTCTTGTTAAGACTAAAGGAAAAACATGACCGTATAAGGTAACAGTTTTAGGTAGTATGGGAGCCTTTAATCCCCGAACTTGGAAGGCAGAGGCAGGTAGATCTCTGAGGTCAACCTGGTCTACAGCCAGGGCTACACAGAGAAAGCCTGTCTCAAAAAAAAAAAAAAAAAAAAAAAGGTAATAACAGGATTCAAATCCTATCTAGATCCTCTATGAAACACCTACCAAGTGTTATCCCCTCACTAGCCTCCTGCATTACCCAATCCGAAATGTCCTCCTCTGTGAAACATCTGCCTCCTGGGTTGTTGAAAATGCACTTGACACAGAACAATTGTTCAAAATACACAATGGCACTGTTAACTAATTAAATGGAGCCATGACTTTCTCACGCTCACATGTAAAAACTGCTTCAGTCCACT